TCTGTGATTATCTCCTGGGGCACAGGCAGGATGTATACAGGCTGCTCAGGGGCTCGCAGAATCAGCAGCTGCTCCCTGTGTGACCCTCCAGGCCACAGGCAGCTATGGGATTTATTTCCATGTTGAGAGGGCTGTGGAAAGATTATCCACAGGCCAAGGCTGTAAGATTATAGAAGGGTGGCATTCTATGCCTGTGGCTTGGCAGGCTCCACTGGATGTTCTCACATATATAACCTCTGACACCCCACCCATGCAGGTAATTTCTGGAAGACTCTTCCACCTGCAGTGTCCCTCCAGTGCCCTCTGCTGAGAAAACTAAACACTGTGCTCACCTTAAAGAAGAAATGCTCAAGGTTCAGTCGTTTATCATGTAGCATTTATTGAAGAGTGCACTTGGAGCTGAGAGGCAATAAATTGACAAGTGACACAGGTATGTCACTTATCATTCATGACAGTGGCCTATGCAGCAGTGCTTTAACACCCGATGCCACTGCACAGCATGAATGCTAGTACTACTGTCTATGTTTCTCAGTCAGGTGAAATAAAACCTGGAGGAGTGACTAGCAAATCACTTGTTTATTTGTTTGCTTTTTAACATTTTATTTTGAAATAATTCTGGATTCACAGGAAGTGGCAAACATAGTGCAGAGAGATTTCATTTACACTTTACCCAGTTTCCTTTCATAGTGACTTAACTACAATACATTATCAGAATCAGGAAATTGACATTAGCACAATATGTATATATAGTTCCATGACATTTTATCACATGTGTAGATTGTCATACTTTTATCGTAGTTGTTAATTCTTATAACCATAGCAATCGAGATGAGAACTTTTCTACCCCGACACAGATCTCCCTTCTTTGTGCTACCCCTTCACAGTCAACAGTCTCCTCCACATTCATAACACCTGACAACCACTATCCTGCATGTCTTTATTTTTGTCATTTCAAGAATGTTATGAAAATGCAATCATACGGTATGTAGAGATTGGTCACCAGAAAGATCAAAACATGATTAGAGGTTTGAGACTTTTAACCCCATCCCCTGACCTCCTCAGAGGGGAGAGAGGATAGAGATTGAGTTAGTCACCAATTGCCAAGGATTTACTCAATCACCCCTATGTGAGGAAACCTCCTTAAAACCCCCTAAACAATTCAGGGTTTGGAGAGCTTCTGGGTTGGTGAATACATCAAGGTGCTGAGAGGGTGGCACACCTGGAGAGGGGTGGAAGTTCTGCACAGCCCCATACCTTGCTCTCTGCATCTCTTCCATTTGGCTGTTCCTGATTTGCATCCTTTATAATAACCAGGTAAATGTAAGCAAGATTGGGTGCTCTCACCACAGCACCCGGGTTTGTTTCCTAGTCAGGGAACCATAACCATCTGTTGACTGTCATATTGTGTTGGCTGCATGTTGTTGTGATGCTGAAAGCTATGCCACCAGTATTTCAAATATCAGCAGTGTCACCCATGGTGGACAGGTCTCTGTGGAGCTTCCAGACTAACACAGACTAGGAAGAAGGCTCTCACAGGCCACTTCCAAAAAATTGGCCATGAAAATTCTATGAATAGCAGCAGAGCATTGTCCGATATAATGCAGGAAGTCAAGAGGTTGGTACAAAAATACCAGGCAGGGTTCTGCTCTGCTGTACACAGGGTCCCTAGGAGTCAGAATTGATTCATAGGCACTAACAACAAAAACGGAAGTGAAGTGCCTTCCTGAGTCCTGTGAGCAATTCTAGCAAATTATTGAAGCTGAGTGGGAGGAGCATAGGATGCTCCCTATTTATAGCCAGTTGTTCAGAAGTACAGGTGGCAACCTGGGACTTCTGACTGGCCTCTGAAGTGGGGGCAGTCTTCTGGGACTGACATCTTAACTTTTCGAATCCCTGCTAATGCCAGATAGTTAGTATCAGAATTGAATTAAATTGTAGGACACCTAGCTGGAATCCAGAGAGTTAGAGAATTCGTTGATGTGGGAGGAAAACCCACACGTATTGTGGGTAAATTTCAGTATTTTCCTGGGGTATGGCAATTATGTTCTAAAAGTTTTCGATCTTGCTAAGTTGCCCCTTTCCTGCATCTTTGGCTGGAGAGAGCAGGCTTTTCTTAGAGAATTTTCTTTGTTCTCATTAGAGTCTTTGGGTTATTGGCTCTTCCAGCAACAGTTTCTAGATATATAAGAACCCCCCAAAATCCCAGGGAATTCACCACCATGTTGTCCCTCAAGGTCCAAAGACCCCACCCAGGCAGTCTGCCTTCTCTCTACCTTTCAAAGTCCTCTTATGTTTGTTTTACATATAATTTCCAGGGTTTTTAGCTGTATTTATTACGAGGAATGGGGAAAAGTATGTCTATTCCATCTTTTTCTAGAAGTTCCAAGTCAATTTTAAATATCAGGATCTCCTTTTCTGTGGGAGAAAAGTGATTTTCCTCCCCCACCTGTCAGTTTTTCTTCCTCTTAGTTCTCCATTCCTAACTATGCAAGGTTGGTTCAGAAACAATTCTTTCATTAAATAACCTTATGAGGTCACTATTACCAGCTGTGAAAATGTCTCAACCATTCCCTTGTTAATAAGATCTTTTCTGTAGTCCATTACACATGAGACACAGACATTTCTAGTGTATGTTGATTAAATTCTCAGCATATGCTGATCAGTTTCCCAAATAGAAATTCAAGTCTTGCTTTGTGCTACTGTTTTATTGAGACTTTCTGTAATAAGCTACTAATCCAAACTTATTAATTAGCAATATTCCTAAAGCCAAATTTTCCAGTCTGTTCACTCTATGGATTTGTGGCTTAAAATACCCTCCTTCTCCCAAGCACAGCTATCTAGGAGGCTCTTGTATAGAAGAAATATTTGAGCGATTAAAATGATGTTGTTTTAGCCAGAGATGGGGCTGGTAGTGGAATTAACAGCTTTGGCTGATCTAATACACACTAGAAGTTTTATATGCATTATCTAATGTATTCCTCAAAATAAAGCCATGATGTATATAAATCCATTTTACCAATGAAGCTTTTGCAAGATCACACAGTTAGGGGGCCAGTCTGGTGGTGCAGCAGTTAAATTCGCACGTTCCGCCTCTCAGCAGCCTGGGGTTTGCTGGTTCGAATCCCGGGTGTGGACATGGCACCGCTTGGCAAAAGCCATGCTGTGGTAGGCATCCCGCGTATAAAGTAGAGGAAGATGGGCACGGATGTTAGCTCAGGGCCAGTCTTCCTCAGCAAAAAAGAGGAGGACTGGCAGTAGTTAGCTCAGGGCTAATCTTCCTCAAAAAAAAAAAAAAAAAAAATCACACAGTTAGTAAAACCCAACCTGTAACTGAACTCCTGCTGTAAGTATAGAGCTAGCCAGCAGTCCATGAACCATTAGTAGACCATTAAATCAATTTAGTGGACAGCAAACATTTTTTAAAAAGTGAAGAATATCACAGTAGAAAATAAGACCAGACATTTCACATAGTAAGGAAAAGTATCGTTAAATGAAAACAAAAGTTTATTTCTTTTATACAAACACACACACACACACATATATATTTATTAACGTTGTATGTGCACTGAGTCCCAATGCACAAAATGTTTCTTATAATGTGGTTTGTAGTCAAAGATGTCTGGAGCTATTGTGTTGGGTGACCTTTTGAGATCCTTCCAGGCCTTCATCTAAGTAAGATTGTTTATCATACCCACTGTGCTAACACTTTTCCAGGAAAATGCATCATCTCTCAAAAGCAAAATTTGTTTTTTAAAGCCCCAAATTTGCAGCATAGTATCTCTGGGTTAAAACAGAAAATAGCTATTTCTATAACAAAAATTCATGCTAGCACGTAACTCTTGCTGCCTATGATTTGTGTATGTATGTGTTTCTGATATGAGTACGTTTTGCCATTTGATTTTTTTTCTGCTCGCTACAAAACTCTAAAACAAAGTGAAATTCTAATCAGTTTCACAATGAGATGTGAATTGGACACAAAGTACAAAATAGACATTACACTACAGTCGTTGAGGGCAGATTCTGCAGTAACACAGATGTACTTCAAATCCAGGTTCAGCCACTCAGGACCCTGAGAAAATTACTTCTCAATTTCCTTACCTGGAAATAGTAATAATAAGAGCAACTAATTCATTGTGATAATTTTAGGATTAAAATGAGATAACATCTAAAGTTATTATCAAAGGGTTTGCCTTGTAGCAAAAACAATAACTATTAGCTATTAATCTTTTACTTCTGAAGTAAGACATTTGCAGAAACCAATAATTTCAAAGGAAATTCTGAACTGTTACAGGCAGGAAATGAATTCTGTTCTTTAGTGTTACTTGTTAAATTGCTCTTTTCTCAGAATATACTAAACAATGAATGAACATTGTCCAAGTTTTATGCTGTAAATAATGCTTGGCTGATTTAACAAAGGAGGAAAAGGGAAGAAAATCATGTTTTCCTAGTTTTTGTCTCTTTATGTTCATATGTCCATATGTTAGTTTGCAACCTCATGACTTGCCTGAGTGAAATTTGAAACTGACTCCCCCCCAACCCCCTACAACATGGAGAGCAAAGAGAGACCAAAGACAGACAGATCACTCCAGATTGGTAAGTAGCAGGTTTAACAAGCAAGGGAACTTACACATGAGGCTTCTCTTGGGTGGCTGCAAGATGAGTAGATCTCTGTACCTGCCCGCCAAGTTTATATAGAGGCCTTAACAATGTTCAGTCACGTATACAATCCAGATGGTCTCAACAAGACATTACTCTCTCAAGGTTGTGTCCTTGAAATAGCTCCTAGTGTGGGAAGAGTGGGCAAAATGTACATTCCAAAGACAGAGGAGGGAGTGAGGAGCCTTCTATTGCTCTGTTCAGCTCGAGGGTCAACTGGCGGTCAAGTCCTCTCAGTGACCTCTTACAACACTGTAGCTGTACAAATCAGTCCTTTCCGTAATCTGTCTAATTCTGGGTTAACTGACATAACTTTGTAGGGTCAAGTCAAGAGCCAGAAATTATATAGCAAAGCTGGATTTCTACACTGAAACACAAACCCCTAGAGCTAGCGCTCCTAAACACAGTATTTTGGAAATGATCCACACGTTTAACGTATCTGTGATGACAGGTCTTTTGATATTGCAGGACAGCCTGGAGCCACCTATGTTCCCGATGCAGAAGGGATCCCTGAATCTCCTGAGGCAGAAGTGGGAATCCAGCGATTACCAGAAAAGCGAGTGCTGTCCCAGGGGCAGCCGTTGCAGGTTTTTCCAGCCTCGAGAAACCAAATTGCTTGAACCTGAAGGCGAGGAAGTGTCAGCACCTAGACCTCCAGATCCAAGTCTGCCCCACAGTGTGGGGGAAGAAATGTTGAGCTCAGAGCCTGAAGAGAAGGGTCCTGAGGACAAGAGTGACATCTCCAGGGAATATGGCCGGCCTGAAGTGCTGAAGGGGGATTCCTTGAGGGGTCATCGCAGGATTGAGCGCTTCTCCATTGCCCTTGATGAGCTCAGGAGTGTGTTTGAGGCTCCCAGGAGTGAAAACAGACCAGCTGGACCAGCTGAGTACAGCCAAAAGGTAAGGAGCCATTGATTAAGAGTTGAGGTTTATAGTTGACAAGCTAGGTAGTTTGTCTAGCCTGCCATTTATTTCTAAGCATGTAATGTTTTTTCCCTCACCTGTGCTCTAGACAGATGTCCTGAAGCAACCATGTACTATGGTGTGAATGTGGCATCCTCTATTATTGACTTCCTCTGTGATCTGTTCCAAAGGGAACTTGACCTCCTTTCACTCCCTCAGAAACAGCTCCGATAGTCCCTCTTCTGTTGATGTTTCTTTACGCACATGTCTTGTTTCCACAACTAGGTTATAAGTTCCTCAGAGGCAGGGACAATTTCTTATCACTATTTATACTTCAAATCTCTAACAAATGGTGTTGCACTTAACTGGAGCTCAGTGAGGATTTATCGGTAATGATCGTGAAATGGAACAAGTGAAGGCTCTGGAACCACGGTGACCTAGATTTTAATCCTAAAACCTGCCATTTACTTTTCCAGCTGCATGACACTTCACTTTTCGAATAAAGACGTCTTAATCTGCTACTTAACAGGGATCTTGTGAGGATTATTGATAGTACGTTTAAAGGAGCAAGCACAGAGTCTGGAATATTTTGTGGTAGATGATCATGCCTCAGTGATTATGGTGTGCTATAATGTCACATATAAAATAGTTCTATTAGCTAAAGGGAATGTTTAATCAAATGCAGGAAGCAGAATTAGTAATATTATTAATGAAGACCACATTTATACTTCTGTTGTCAATTAAAAGCAACTACTGTTGAAATTGGGATTGCTTGAATTTATTACACTCATTAGGGCCCCTACATAAAGAGATTATAGTTGAATTTCATAAAGAATAAATGATCTCAGGTTTTCCATTGGGAAGCAAACTCCATGCTTTGTTAATTTTTTTACCTAGTGACAGTTATCAGGAGGGTATAGTCCTACTGTTATTAATGGATAATTAACCTTTACAGAAGGATTCACAGAAATAGAAAATTTTTCAAAATAAATTGTTTTGCTAATACTTGCTCCCAGTTTTCCTGTTGGGACATGTATAGTAGTTACAATGAGATCATTCTTACTCATCAAATAACTTGACTTGGTTTAATGAGAATAAGGGAGGATTAAAACTACTTTTATTCTACAGGTGCAATCCTTTTTGTTTGTAGCTTTAAAATATCTGTTAGTTGCATGTCTAAGGATTGGGGTACACTTAACATAGATATTTACGATGCCATTTAGTTTTCATCTTAATAAATTAAGAAAAGTAAAGCCACAGAAAAGAGTTTCCATTCAATCTCTGTTGACTTTAGTGTCACAATTTTGGACACTTACTCAAGATAATTGACAAAAGAAATGGCCAAAGGTAGAAAAAAAATCATCCTTATAAATTATGTAATATAACCTATCCTCATCTGGAGCAGATGTAGCTGCTTAAAGGTAATAGTAAGAAAATGAAGCGTTAATCATGGTTTCTGGTTGAAATGTGAGATTACTGCTATTGGTATGGTATGTGATTTTTGTATCTTATACTCATGAAAATAATTACAGAAAGAAGCAGATATATGAAAACCACTATTTGGTTTGCAAAAATGAAATTTGATTAGCATATTCTATCCATTGTTCTTTAGGTATTCCAAGGTACTATGTCATAATATGGTATTTCCCTAAATGTATGAAACATGGATTGTGTATTTAGAAATTTCTCATTTATAGGAGACACGCTTGATTTTTATAATCAGTTTACTTGAATGAGTATCAATAATGTTTGCAAAACTCTCTTTCTAAATTTCATATGACTTTTAGAACAAGGAGAAAAAAATGGAAAGAAAAATGAGAAGCCAATGAGGGATTAGCTTTCTTTCTCCTTGTGAAGTATTTTATGTTATGACGCTTGTGAAAAGAATTCTCATTCAACTTAATTTGAAATTATATATTTCATGCCAAAACATAGTAATTATATACAACTTAACCATTAACCCTTTGTTTCTATGGATCTTTTTCTTCTTTCTCATATCAATGCTTTATGTTATTATTATAAAGTAATGAGATAATATTTATTTGCATAAATCATACAAAGATATTCCAGCTACTTTATAACTATGACACATATTTATGGAGACTATTGAGATATTGGTGATGTGGGGAAAGATATTCAATATTTAAGATACTTAAAGCAAGGACAGAAAGTTCTTGTAATTAGCAAATCATCTCAACAATAATAAACAAGGAACTGCATTTTCATGTTGCTATAGAGGGAAACTGGTAATAGGCACTTATTTAGAACAAATTTATAAAATTATTGAAGTTCAATCTAGACTTTGTAGAATTTTTAAAGGTATAGAATATTTTATATATGTATATGTATTTACAGATACACACATACATAATTATGTTTAAAGCATTTTCAGCAAACATAAGAGAAATATGTCTTTATTTATTAAAAAGTGTCCATTTAAGGATCGTTTGGTTTAGAAAATTATTTGTTAATTGGAAGAAGGAACTACAAGAGTCAATATTATTTTCAATAAGTATGCAAGCTCATTAAAGGGAGATGATATCAACCCCTAAAACATATTCACTATATTCCAGAGCTTTTGTTAAAATAATTTATCTTAATATAATTACAATAGAAAATTAATGATAAATTAACATAATTTTACCTGCTGACGTTTTATAATTTCCAAAGAGTGATACAGCTTATTTTTATTTCTAAAATACCCTGTAAAAGCAACTTAGAATGAACTTTTAAACTGAAGATTTTTATGCCTATGAGGCAGACTGTAATTCAAAGACATAAATTCACAGAGGCATTATTCCAAATAAATGGTGTGGAACATGAGTTTAAAAGGGTTTTTAAGAACTTACAAGAACCAAAGATTGTAAATCTTTGCAAGAATGACACATCCACTTGCAACACCAAGAAATAAATTGTTATTGTATAAGGCAATGTATTAGTTAGCATTTGCTGTGTAACAAACCACCCCAAAATTAGCAGCTTCAAATAACAAGCATTTATTATTGCTTACAAGTCTCTGGTGAGCTGGGAAGTTTGTCTAGTCTTTTCTGGTCTCACTTGTGCATCTATGGTCAGCTGCCAAGTCAGCTGGGGTCTGACTATCCTAAGATGCCCGCAGAGCTGGGACAGCTCAGCTCTGCCCCATGTGATCTCTCCTCCTCCACAGGTTTCCCATATTTGTGCACAGGTCATGAGAGTTCCAAGAAAGAAAGTGGAACTGCATGAGTCCTCTGGAGGCCTATGCTCAGAACTTGCACACTGAATCTCCATATTCTATTTGTCAAAATAGTCACAAAACAAGCCAGATTAATAAGGTGCTGAAATAGACTCCACCTCTATTTGGGAAGAATTGCAAAGGTAAAGAGATACAAGGAGAGGATTAATTGTTGCTACTTTGCAGACAATCTACCACAGACAAGTTTACTTAAATACATTAAAGAATCAAAATGGTTGAATACATTATGAGTTAATGCAGACCTCAGGAGGAGGACCTTACACAAAAGGATCCATGTTGGCAACTATTTGTGGACAAAACTCAGTCTTTTTCCTCTCTTAGGTTAAATTAATTGACTATACTGATGATAGTTATTGTGGAAGGCAGAATAATGGCCTCCCAAAGATGTTCACATCCTAGTCCCCAGAAGTGTGAACGTGTTACCTGACATGGCAAAAGGGACTTTGCAAATGTGATTAAGTTAAGGATCTTGAGATGCAAAGATTTTCCTGAATTATCCCAAGTGAAAACAGGGTCTTTATAAGAGGGAGGCAGGAATGTCAGAGTAAGAGAGAGTCAGAGAAGGAGATAGGATGACAGAAGCAGAGATGGGAGTGGTGCAGGGCTATGACCCAAGAAACGTGGCAGCCTATAGAAACTGGAAAAGGCAAGGAAACCAATTACCCCCTAGAGCATCCAGGTGGAATGTAGCTCTACAGATGGCTTGACTTTAGCCCAGTGAAAGTAATTTTAGGCTTGATTCCACAACTGTAAGATAATAAATTTGTATTGTCTTAAGCCACTAAATTGGTGGTAATTTATACAGCAGCAATAGGATACTAATACAGTTATATTGTAGGCTCTTTAAACATTGTTTAAAAATGGTTGGGTAGTATATGGTTTGGAGTTTCCCTCTGTTCTTCCCTGGTGAACATATTCTCATATTTCAAAATCGGATCTTTGACTTTCTTCTATTTGTAGTTGATGATATGAATGCTTGCAATATTAAGTAATCAAGCAACACTAATCTTAGTTTTGGATGATATGTGTTTGAGATGCAACACATAGTCACCTGAAAGGGTGGATTTATCTGAAGGAGAAGTTTGCCAAAACAAAAAAAGGAAGAAAGAATATTATAAAGGAATAAATAAACACAAAAAGCTTATGGGACACACTTGCTTCAATTCACGTTTCTTCTATGGGCGAATAGTTTATGTGGAATATATATGCAATTTTTAAATAAAAACCAGCTTGACTCTGGCTAGTCAGTTCCAGAATAGGAGCAGAATAGGACGAATTTGGAGCAGAATAAGATGGTATCAGTTCCTCTTTCTTCTTTAAAGCTCCCAGTTGCTGTTCACAGAGCAGAGACAGTGAGAGCACTGAGCAAGACCCCCTAAAGGATAACTTCAGCCTTCATTGTGATTCCACTGTTCATAGGGAGTTTTTGATTCAATTACTTAATTTTGCTTTTATTCCATTCATATATTTAGACTCTAAATGGTAAATGATCTTATTTTCACCGTAGCTTACTTAATGACTTACATGTTTTTAATGCAGTTATTATCTTTCTCAAAAACGCCACTCACCTGTGCAATCAGGTAAATTAGGCAATTTACCTAATGCCTCAATAGAGACTGTTTCTATCATTTACTTAGGCTGTAGGTGACAAAGACCATTCAGACATGAGCTAGACTTAATTTAAAAAAGGAAACATAGTCACCATATTCTGCTTGTGCTGTCTCAGAATGCGTTGATTCGATCTATTGTGTGATTCGAGGCT